AATTTTCCTAAAGAAAACTGAATCATATTTTCAATTTTTTTTCCCAGTCTTTGTCTCAATTAACCCAGTTTTGAGAAAAACGCAATCCAAATTAGAGGCATCTCTTGTTTTTTTTTATAATGAGACTCAAATAGGCACAGAAAACACTGAGGGATTTTTTTTATGCGGATGACTCTGTACTAAAAACTACAAAAAAAAAACACTTTGCTCTCACACATCAATCGGCAGTGAATTATTATTTTTGCTCGAAGTAAATTAACTAGTTAAATAATAACAAGTTGACACCTAACGTCAAAAAGACAAAGATCATGAGACATTATCGCTACCAAAAAGTGACACTGAAATAGAAGAAGTAACATGTTTTAAACAATTACGAATTCACATGGACTGAGATTGCATCAACACAATGATCAGGTAAAAATTAAGCCTCTCAGTTCCAGGGGATTTTTTTTTCCATTTGAGCAATGGTTTGTGACAGCAGTTACTATTTAGCGATAAAAGTTATGTTTAACCAATCATTCGATACAAAATTTTAGTAGATGCACCCACTAAAAAAATCAAATTGCAAGAGCTTGAAATAAAAATCGCAAGACTATAATTTAAAAAACGTTTGACAAGCGAGCTCAATGAAGAAAATCACCAATTTTGAGCCAAAACTTAATCAAAAATGGAGTTGCCATCCAAAAGTAAAATTGACCAAAAATCTGTCGAAGGAAATCTGAAAAACTGAAAAGGAAAATTTGGTGGAAAATTTCAATTTACCGCAGAGGTGAAGCGGAGCTTCACATATTTTGCGATACAACACAAACTTAAGAAACCGTTCGCAAAAAAATGAAAAAATGTTGAAAAATTTTGTCCTATAACTCAATAAAAAGTCATCATAGAGAAACATGTCAAACAAAACATTTGAATATAATAAAGCAACATAAAAAACTTTAGCAACAAAAAAAGCGGAAACAAAATTGCCAATTTTTAAGCAAACATCAGTTGCGCCGAAAAGAGGTGATTTTGAAAGGTTCCAACTTCCCCGTAAAAATAAAACAAATAACTTTTCAAATTTAACTAAGACTGCTGACAGCAAAAGAAAAAATCCGCGATGAGGCAACTAATTGACAGCTCAATTTTTGAAAAATTATATATATATTACAATTTTCAACTTACAAAAAAACAAGGTCCGTCCAGGTTTCAAACCCTAGACCTTAGGGTGCTCATGCGACCACGCTAACTCTAGGCTAAAAAGAAAAGAGAGCTTGAAAATTCTACAGGTTCAATGAACAAGCAAGTAAGAAAAGCAAGTAAGATTTGTCAGAAACATTGTTTCCGCGAAAAAAAGTCTAGTTTCCGAATGCAAGACACTTGCTCTCGCAATTACAATTAAATTTAATGCAGTGAAATATTATCGATTCTTGCGACAGTTTCTCTTCTTAGGTTGAAGAAGTCTTAATGAAGAAAATCTGTAAATTTTTGGGAATTCTATTATATGAGGCATGCTTTGAATTTTTTTCCTGTTGAGTTTGTAGAATTTATTTCCAATGGTTAATAGTTCATGGGTAAAAAGCACTATTTCAAAAACGACTTAATCATATGTTAGCAAAATATACGTATAAAACTTTGGGAGATTCAATTAGAACTGCAATTTGAAAATAAAAAAACTATCCCTTGATATTCTTTTCCTTTTAATTCTGATGGCTACTAGCTTTTGGGTAGAAAGCACTACACGAGAAACAGAAAAATTCTTTTAAATTTAGAAAGTAAAATGGTATTGCTCTCCGCTTGAAAAAACACCTGGAAAAAAGTTAGGCTGGCTGAATGATCTTCTCCCAATTTTTTATATGTTGAATACAAAGCCAGCAAACTTTTTTGAGTCAATGAGCGCAAGGAAACAAAAATTACTAAATTCTTAGTTTCAAAAGAAATTATTGCCTTAAAGTTCTTAGAAATTCACGATCAAATTATGATTGACACTGTTTTGATTAACATAATCGATTTTGAAAGAACTGGATCAATAGCTTAATTTTTTAAGTGCTGCTGGAAAAACTGCAGTTTAAAATATACTTTTGAAACTAGAAGTCGATCATGTCTTTCGTGACCTCTATATTTGGCTGTTTGATAGAAGAGTTTTCTTGCTTTCAACAAAATAAAAGAAATGAAACTTCAAAAAAATTAAGAGTCAAGCCGCTAATAATTACAATTTAAAGTAAACAAATTGTAAATTTTTTGTATTTAAGAAAAATCACTAAGTGCATAACTCTTGATAGTTTTAAAATAAAAACTCAGGCACCAAATTTAAGAAGGTATGATAACATTTTTCAAATATTGTTGTTCCCTAAAACTTCCAGTCGAAAAGAACTATGACTATCTGCATCCGTGATGACTCTGGGTACTAGCCAGCAAAAAACTGTTGCTTAGAAATAAACTGTGTACATCTTTTCTGTGGCCTTTTCGTACTGTAAACTACCAAATTTTCCTGTTTTACTTAAATACATCAATCCATAAGTTCATTGTAACAACGCAGCCGAATTTTTTGGAGCTGTTGTACATTAATAGAACACAATAACTTATCTTTAGCTTCTTTCAACATTACGAAACTACCCTTTTGGTCATTTTATTGATTAAACTGATCCAATGTTAGAAAACCTGATCTTTAGCTTAAGTTTATTGAGCCAAGAATGCCTAAAATTCGCGCCAATTTTTCTTGTATTAATGAAAGTGGTAATAATGAAAGTGGATAGCTGGTTGCAGTGCACGTAGCATAGACAGATTCGACTACAAGAAAAAAAGCTTTTTTTCTTGTAAGAAATCAAATTAGGTCGCTTTTTGTCCGTGGTGTGGTGATAGGATCTGAACTACAGCCTATAATTTAGTCATGTTCAGTAACTATTAAAAATAGACATATTTAAAAACAGCAACGAAGACCCCACAAAAAATCTGAACAAAAATTATCTGAAAAATTTTGATCTTCAAAGAAATAAAAACCCGAGGCTTTTTTACAGCAAAAATAAAAGCTTTCTATTCTAGTATACACAGGCGCAAATTAGGGGAGGTGGGCTGGGAAAGGACGTTCAATACCCCCCTTCTCCTCTCCCCCTTCAAGGGGTTCGACCCCCTGCCAACCCAAAGGCTACACCCTTTATACAATTTAGAGATATCCAGTTTTGGATGACGGACATGAAATTTTTCTTGAGTCGCCTTTGGCGCCAGTATATAATAATTTTGAGGCGCGAGCAAGCGCCAAAAAAATGCAATTTTTTGGTTGAAACTGCCAAAAAGTGCCTAAAAAACCCTTTTTGCCCTTTTTTCAAAGTTTTGCCTGCCACGCTGTCATGATTCCATTCTGATAAAAAAGCATCATAAGATTTAGATGTTACCGGAAAAGCATAAATTATATCGTTTAAACTTGAATAACTCGTTATTTGAAAACTGAAACATACCCCAATTCGGTCAAGCCCGGACAAAACATATCTTGCTTGGGTCGAGCAGCTTTTTTGGGTCGAGTAAGGTCGGAACATGTCTTGCTTGGGTAGAGCTTGATCAAACACATTTGTTTCGGTCGAGCACTTTAGTTTCGGTCGAGCAAGGATCAACATACCAAATTTTGGCCGAACACGGTCGGTCGAATCATACCCAATTTTGATCGAGAGGGTCAAAACACACTGATTGTTTTCCGAGACCTTCAAAACGCGTGAGCACCTTCAATCCGGGTTGAATTTGAATACCGTTTTTTTAAAAGTTTTTGTTGAAATATCATGTCAGAAAAGTTTAAAATGAAAATTGGGGATGTATCTGTCGAAAATTAAAGTATACTTTCAGCAGAAACATTTTGGCTGAGTCAGTTAATTGTCATGACAAATTTATCAGTAATAAATGTTTTTTCAAGAAATACTATTAAAAGGAAAATCATTGTTCCGACTATTGAAAATTGGGAGAAGCTTTGTATTCTGATGTATTTTTTATCAAAACTCTCACCACGCAGAATAATCAGAAATCACAAGAAATTGTTGGAACGTGTCCAGGGAAATATCGTATTGAAGTCTTTTCAGTTGTGATTCGAACAACTTGAAAATCTTGTTGAAAATGTCTGTTGAAAATTTTGATGTTAAGTCTCATCTATAGCGAATAAAGAGGAAGACTATGTTTATGCTGTATAAACCTGGTCTTCCTCTTTATTCGCTCTACATTAGACTCAAAATCAAACTTTCAATTAAGAACTTATTCAAAAAGTTTTTTCAAGTAGCTCGAAGCACGAGTGAAAAATCTTTATATACCACAAAAAATCGGAACTGCGGAAAATCGATTTTTTGTGGTACCTAATTTTCTTTTGCATTTCAGCGGTGAAATCATAGCTCAAATATGTTCACCGAAACAAGCATAGCATTGCATACTTTGCGCTACAAAGCAAGCTTAGCATATACCACCCCCTCCTCAAACTTCTTTAAGCAGAAAAATATATTTTTATCTTCAAGCGAAAAAAGGTAAGACAACTAAGGTGATAAAAATATGCTCAAAGCAAAAAATGGTTTAATCAGAACAAAACTCGAAGCTTTAGAAACAAAGCTATCAAGAGATCAGCGCAAAAACGATAGTCCGACAATTGAAAAATCCCAGAAAAAACTTCATCTTATATAAATTGAAAGAAAATTAGATCCGTCCCAGATTCGAACTCGACGATTTTAGGATACAAAAACACGAGCTTTACCACAAAACTAATTGGGAATTGGTTTGGAAGTTGTTGAGTTTCCATAATAACGCTTTTCCAAATTCTTACAAAAAAATACTATTTAGCAAAAAAAAATCTGTCACAATTTCTCCTCTATATAACCTCAAAACTTCCTTTTACCATTTTTTGTTTCATATAAAAAACATTGTGAAGAAGTTCTGGCATGTTTGCTTTTTGCAGTCTTTGTTTTAAGTTATGTTCAGATCATATTGAGTTTATCGCTTTATTGGACGAGATTAAAATTTCAATCATTTTTTCGACTTTTTGGGTGAGATAAAAACAGTTAAATCATATGTAAATTTGTACTGCAATTGTATTAAAAATAATCTATATAAATTTGATACACAGAAAATGATAAATTATACAAGAAATCAGTAATTTTTAGCACGCCGCCGTGACTCCGCATCAAAAAGCATTCTAACTCCTTTAAGCCAACTGAATTTGCTTATTAAAAATTCTATTTGCGGTTAAAACAGCCCGTCAAAAAAAGCTTCTTCTAAAACCTAAAAATGTCCTGTCAGACTGAAAGAGTCACGATTTTCGACATAGCTATCAACTTTAAAGGAACTTAAGTTGAGTATGATAAAGCCGCAGAAAGAATGGAGAGACGAAACCATTTAAAAAAGCTATTGGATGATTTGAATTAGACGTTTGAACCAGCAGTTAAGACGTTTGAACCAACAATGAAGATTTACTTTTATTTGTATTTGCATATCTTTTTTTTCAACACTACTCGGTGCTGTATAAATTAGGTTTCTTGCGAGTGCTGTTTGATATAGGCGGTCTAAAATTCTTCCAAATCTCAATGAAATAATTTTCGTCTTTCCAAACATTCACCAGCTGTACAATAACTTCATTCAAGTTCATATCTCTCTCATCGTCATCATGGCTTTTTGAATTCAATCCTTTCCACCTTCACTTCACTGTCTACTAATTTGTATATGTATGTCACCACTGTCGACTGCTGTATGTCCATCAGTACGAAAGAGGGCACCGGTTGGCTCTCCATACTGCTGTAGGCGCCAGTGGCTGATCCAGGGTTCACATAGAACACTCCGTTTTTGTCGAATATTTCCAGTTTGTGTGTATGTCCAGTGATCAGAATGTCCACTCCTAGTTGTCTCTGTAGCATCTCAAGAGCAGTCGTGGACCCCCAGGGAATCAGCTGGTGTCCATGACAGACTCCGATTGAAAATTGACCCACCTGAATCACAGATAAGAACTTTTACCGAAATCTGGCATTTTTAGAACTTATACTAGCTTCTCAAGAGTTAAAAACACTTGTAAACAGGATAAGATTCTGATGGTTTGTTAGAAACACTGAGTACCAGTAAAATCATAATACTTGACAAATTCAGGACTGACATGAGCAAAAATTACAAGCTGCTCACAGCCCGCACAGAAAATTTCCTAACCATTAAATTTTCAAAAATCCAAACATATTTTTGAAATTTTCGATTTGTTTTTTCTTGCGGGGAGGAGGAAGCTTATAATACTAACGGATAAAACCAAATTATGTCAGAAAAATATTATCTTTTTTTTTTCAGCTAAAATATAATGTCATTTTAAGCGTGACAGTCAAAGAAGAAACCCGAAGTTTTACTATAATCGAAATCACCAAAATGAAAGAGCTACTGTATGTTGTATGATATATCATTCGATCAACGACATGCCTTTAATATACTCAGCAACCCAATAATGCATGCATCTCGAAAAATTGAACACCTAAACGCTTCAGTTTTGCTATTTGTGCTCAGCTTCAGCCTCGATATTCGAACCATTTTCTTTCACTATTGGACAAAAAAAAAAGTTCAATGTCCGCTTCGAAGATAAAGAAGAACTTCGAAACCAAAAAAAATTGTATCATAAGTTGAACACTAAATTTAAGAACTACGCGATAAAATGAAGAACAACATTTTTTAGCGTTTTCTTCTGAAAAAGTCAAATAAACATGATGGAGGGACTAACTGATATTATTTTCTGGTCGGGGTAATTTCCACTGTCCAAATCGAAGTCTCCTCGGACCACATGAAGATCCGAAGCCAGACTCTTCAGGTACTCGTGGGCGTCTCTGCAGGCCAGGTTCCCAGTGCATACGATGTGGTTTATCCTACCTGGAACGAGGAGTTTGCGGAACTGAGCCGGTAGACTGGCCGCCCTGTGGGGAATATGCAGATCGCCTATCACCAGAACAAGCATCACAATCTATCTAAAAACGATCGCAACAATATTTTTCCACTTTTCCACTCCCAAAATTTTGATAATTTTCAAATTTGCTGCAATTATCGGAGCCACTTAGGTCTCTAAGCTAACCACATAGTAAGATTGGGTTTTAATGATAGGTTTCGAGATTATCCGCTCCCACTTTCAACACACGACAAGAGGCTTTCAGTATCAACATTAAAGCGGACAGGAGAAAATCAAAGCGATTCGAGGCTTATTCAAAATATGCTAATATGTTTACAAACATATTAGGAAGAACCCAAAAGTAATCAAGGATAGCCGCTTACTGTGCAAGTAGCACAGTATGTTCCGACCATATTCTTAAAAAAACATCTTTCTAAAATTAGCGTCGTTTTTTCTGTGTGGTGTGATCAAAATTCAAAACGAAAAAACAAAGAACTTAGGTATATTCAAAATACATAGTAAAATAGGCCCATTGGAAAACAGTTTTTGTAGAAAAATGATTAGAAAAAAAACTTTTGAAGAAAAATTTTCGAAGTTTTTGATTCCCAAATTGGCGCTGAAAAACTCCAAAAACTAACTTTACTTGAGAAAAAACTAAGTTTCCACGTTTTAAAATAAGCATAAGTGAGCTTGATAATAGGGCAGAAAAGAACAATCTACCGAGTTAAATCAGAGAGCAATCCATTTTGGAGCAATCAGTATCCGTAAAAAAATCTGTGCACTAACATTCTTTTACACAGAGGTGAAGTTACACTTCGCATACACAAGCAAAAACATGACCGATAACGCTACTGGGAAAAACTGAATGTAAAACTTTGAAAGATTCTAAAGTGACGCACACCAACTATGAGTCTACATAATTGCTAAGTGAGGCAAGCCAATTATGACGCATTAGCAGTACCAGTCAATTTGAAGAAAAAAAAACCAACTAACATGCCTCAGTTTATCGAGCGGAAGCTTTTTAACTAGAATACGAAAAAGTTCAATAAAAACATCCGACCCTGCCCAGGTTCGAACCCTCTTATTTTGCTGCTGGTCTCCTTTCCAACCTCGGCGGTACAGATCCATGTTACCTTGAAGCTAAAGTGCTATTTGTAATAGAATACTCTGTGTTAATATCGTTTGGATTGGCTGTACTTCATAGCTGGTCATTGATCAAAATGAACCGTTTCAAAATGAACACATTTTGTCGCAACAATATTTGCGACTTAGGTTGGAAAAAAAAGAGAATTCATATTATCACACAAGCTTTGCTTGTGTAATGAGTAAGGGCTTTGTGAATGCTGTCCGCCAAACATCTCGATGGAAAAAAAACGTTCAAATATATCATTAAGTCATTTATACGATCCAATAGTTCACATTTGTATATAGATAAACAAGTAATTAACCATCGCTTCGTTAAAATTAATTAGTCCATTGATTTAATAACATTCATTAAATCAACCCAACACTTGAAATAATTTACCAATAGATGGCTGCACAAACATGGGTTTACACAAAGTAACACTCCAACGAGCTCAGCAATTTTCACTTAAGTGTTTTAGTGAGGGCAAAAAATCAACAACGTTCAATTTCTGGCACGTCAGTAAAAGTTTTTCGCATCAAATCAGTGGCATCAATTATTGTCGTACATTTTCTCAGTCAACAGAAATAGAAAACATTATTTCAGAGGTGCTTTGAGAAGAATTCATAAGTTAGCTTCTCTGCCTCCTCACAAGCAGAAACCACTTTGGGGTCGGACAGATCCCCTCTGGGCATGAAACCATGCTGGACTTCAGCATACTCTTTACACTCTACTGCGACTCCATTGGCCTCCAGTGTCTTAATCACTTCTCCTCCTGGCTTTACGTCTGGGGGGTCATTCCCTGCTGGAAACAGACATTGGGCGGTCTTCACCTTGAACACAACAATTGGGAAATTGGAAATTAGCCAAACTCGCCTCGAACTTTTATTGAGACTTACACGCATAAACACAGAAGCTCGCGATACAGAAAAACTACAAATTAAACACAGAGGCGAAGCTGAGCTTCTCAATACTTGCAATAAACAAAAAAAGAGGGACTCTAAATCGAATAAAAAATCAAACATTCCGAAAAATTGGATTTATCAAAATGAATAAAGCTAGTTTTAGATGCTAATGTAGCATGAGGCCACTAAACCGATATAATATAGGCCGAAACCTATTGAGCCGAAAAAAAAAAGAAAAAGCCGAAAAAATTCGAAAAGTTAAGATAAAATATTAAGTCACCCTCGCCATCAAAATACACAAACGCAAACAAATATTTTTTGTCGCTCGTAGGAAGACGCAATATGAAGCCTTTAAGCCCATATATAAAAAAATTACACAGGCGAAGCTTTGCAAACACTTATGACAACACGATAAAAACCAGCTTTATAAAGCGGAAAGAAAAAATAGATATAAGCCTCGAATTAGTAAAACTTTGCTAGGTACCGGATTCGAAACTACGACCTCGAGATTCGGAGTCTTACGCCCTGCCCGCTCGGCCACAAACTCTTAACAACCCACTAATAAAGCAGCTTTATATGCTAATAAAATGCCAAAGCTACGCAGCAAAAGTGGCAACAAAAACAAATAGACACAATTTGGCATGTAGTAATATAAAATATAACAAACTGAAGGCGTCCAGCTAACTTTGCATGAAATAAATTCGAAAGCACAAAGCCAAATTAATATAAATTAAGCATTTCAAAAATATTGCGAGATATATTGAGCTAGAAAATTTCTGGAACCGAGTTTTCATTATTGTACTGATAATTAAGCAAATAGTTTTTATCGGTTAATTTGAGAAATGAGAATGCATCAACTGTGTTAACTTATAACTAATCGAATATCAAATCACATGCTATCAAAGCTGACCCAAAAGTGGCACAAAATTTGCGACTAAGCTAAGAAAAAGAATAGTCGTACTATAACACTACCTCCTTTAAAAAATGTTATTAAGTCCCCTCATCTTCAAAACACACAAAAGCGAAAAAAAACCTTTTCCGCTCGTCGAATAATATAACGCAATATGAGGCTTTCGGCAAAAATCAGCAATCGAATTAAAAAAATATGCTCTAAACGCTCTTTGAATTTCAAGAAAACTATGATTGACACTATTTTTGCTGTTTGATTGCCAAATTTGCCTTCCCTTTTCTACTGAACTTACAGAAAAAGAGCTGAACTTAAAACGGAACCATAAGTCAAACTGCAAAAAAAAATGAGCGAGAACAAAAATTAATACTTTTCCTGAATAAAATATCAAGACCTATATAAGAGTCTTCACTACGTTCGTCGACTCTTAAAAACGACACAAAAGCCTTTATAGAGTCAAAAAAATTACAGCAAAAATTACTAGAAATTTCTCACGAAACAATAAGGAAACACGCTCCTGAAAACTACATTTTACAAAGTTAAATAAGGATAGCCGGTTACTGTTCAAGTAGCAAAGAATATTCCGACCATAGTCTTTAGAAAACTAAGGTTTACAAAGTTTTTTTTTCAACCAAATTAGTGTAGTTTTCTCTGCTTGTGTGATAAAAGGATCTGACATAAAAAAATAATTTAGGCATATTAGACAGTCCTAGTAATATAGACAAAATGGACACAATTTTTTGTGGGAAAATGACTGGAAAAACTTAAAAAAAAACTTATTTTTTCAAAGTTTTTATTGCAGAAATTTTTTGATTGTTTGAAGTTTTGGTTACCAAAAGGCAGTTAAAAACTCCAAAAACTAGTTTTACTTGCTAAAACTGAAGTTTTAAAGTCTTTAATGAGGTTTAATTAAGCTGCTACAAGCCTGCTCGCTAGCTTTTTAGTTTTGCAGAAATTTTCTGATTGGTTGAAGTTTTTGGTTACCAAAAGGCAGCTAAAAACTCCAAAAACTAGTTTTATTTGCTAAAACTTAAGTTTTAAGGTATTTACTGAAGCACAATTAAGCGGTTGCAAGCCTGCTCGCTTGCTTTTGTCGCGCGAATTAAGACGAAAAATCAAAAATTTTAAACCGGTTTTTCTCGACACTTTTTTAAGTGGTTCGATTCACGACTGAAAGTGCTTTTATATGATATATCACTCAACCCAGTTATGTAATTTTTGTAGTACTTAATTTTGCGTGGAAAATAAGAACAAAAAAACTAAAACACACCCGAATACAAAGTTCCTCTCCATTTTTTCAACTGGTCGGAACAAAAACTATCTAAATTCACGTTAAGATTTCATTTCATATTAAGTTTACTTGACTCTAAATCAATAACTGGCGGCGCCCTTCTGAGCCTTCAAACGTAATGTTATTTTGTTTGAGAAGATTGCCGGAAGACAAAAATAATATCAGATAAAAATTTTAAGCTCACGCAATCACATACAGATTAACCATGCAAACAACTAAACCTATATAGATTCATCTGAACACCAGAAAGCGGAAAAACTATCCGTGAAAAGGTTAAGTTCGATCGTAATAACTAGAAAAACTAAAAAAAAGCCTAATTGTTGTGATAAACTTATTAAATTGTTTATGGTTTGTAATGTGACAATAATTGGCGACATCAAAGACTAGAAGTAATACCACCGCTGAACGCCCCACATAGACCAACTAGAGATCGCCGCTAGACAACTGGACTCACTCGGCTCGACAACGAACTGGAAGTGAAGCGAGCATCCCCTGCCCCAGTGAGTTGTTCAATTTTAAAACTGGGCCACGGGGTCAGCCGTTCCGCAGCCACCACTCTACAGGGTATTCATCGACAAACAGTGGAAACATTGAGAATCGATCCGGCGACTATCGTAGCCAGAAGCTCAAAAACCGACTGCTCGACCATGAAAACTTCACTATTCAAAACTGAACTATGACTGAAGCAGTGACGAGCCGCAGCGGAAAGTCAACTAGCCTCACTAAAGACCACTATCCAACCATTGACGATCTTGTTTGGGCATGCACTGATGATGTCAATAAATTTCTAAACAACATAAGAAGAAAGACGGACTGCAATGCTTACTCTGGGAGTGCCGTTCCCAATTGAAAATCGCCAGAAACAAAGAAAATGTCTTGGAAAAGCTGTCCGAAAATTTACATCACCTGACGAAAAACTTCATGCCTACCCTAGAAAACCACGTCGACTCGATGAAGAATCATTTTGATAGAATCACAGACAATGATCCAGGAAAGTCACTTCTACCGGAGCTTCAGAAAAAATTGGACGACAAATTTCTGGAGCTTCGCGACGCTCAACCTTCGCAAAACAGCGCATCACCAGCAAACCCCATAGTCAACCCTGATCAAGAAATGTTGCATTTCCGGCAAATCCGGATCGCCAGAATTCCCTAATCCGACAAAAGATCAGCAGCTGATATTCTTGACGACGAAAGTGCCCAGGTCGAGAGTATATTTGAATATCTGTCTGAGCCTCAGACAATCAGTGATCTAAAAAGAATTGGGCCCTACAAAAAAGACAGAGCCAGACCACGCACACTCCTAGTAACTCTACCGCAAGCCTACAACGTACGAAAGATACTCGCCCAGACTCCTCGTCTTAAGGAGTATCAAACAAAAGTTTTTGTTTCACGAAGTCTGAGCCTCACTGAGTGGTTGACTGAAAACGAAATCCTGAGGAAACGAAGAGAACTGATCTCATCTGGCGTTAACAAATCAAAACTGGAAATGAGATCTCAAAAACTTTATCAAGATAAGATTCCTGTGAACTTATCTATTGAAGCATGACTTGAAGTGTCTCATAACATCTCAATCGACGTTTTAACATTCAACTTGCGCAGCCTCATATCTATGGAACGTTGACGAACATTTGCAAAGCAGTACTAATGTCGAAACCTTTTATTATAGCGCTCTCCGAACCTCGTTTACTCTTAGACAATGAACTATTCCTTTCTGATTCTATCGCTCACCGGTATGATAGACCAAACTTCAATGGTGCTTCAAAGCATGGTGGAGTACTCCTAGCAATCAAGAAAAACTTGAAACAAGACATTTTAGTTTTCAAAATCTGCGATGGCATGTTGCGTGTCACTTCACTAGTGGCAGCTTGAACTACATTATAGCCAACATCTACAATGCAACGATCACAAGCCCATATCGATGGCCCCTTCAGAAATGGAAAAATCTTTTGCAAGGCATAAAGGTCCGCTGCGATGAAATTTTAATTATCACTGGTGATGCGAACCTGCCAACAATTAATTGGGAAACCGGTGTCAGTACTTCCGATTCCGACTCTACTTTGCTGGATCATTTTGATGAGCTGACCTTAACGCAGTTAATTACGTTCAACACCACCGCTTCCTCCTCTCTTGATTAGTGCTCTGCAATTCCGACTCTGCTGTCCTATCAGTAGAACTAGACGAAACAATGAACCGTTTCTACTGCTCTCCCGACGGACACTCTTACTCTGACCACAAAGCCATCCGCACTACAAGTACAGGGTACCAGCAAAACCAGTTCACTGAATTATAGTCCTCGCAAGTTCAGCTATGCATTAGCCGACTGTGAGAAACTTAACAATTACATCCGTCAACAGCCTTTCAAAGCCATTGTTGGTCTAATGTGAACGTTTTATCTGACGAATGGTATCATTGGCTACAGGATGCACTTGAACACAGTGTCTCGATGAAAACTCTTCACCGCCAAAGTCTTCCTCCGTGGGCATCCAACGCGACTTCGCATCTGATGAAGAAACGCCAAATGTGGATCAGAAAATACAGAGGCAGAGCCTCGAGTTCTCTTTCACAAAAAGTCAAAGCTATTGAAGAAAAAATCCGATATGCCTGCAAGATCGATCAAGCAGCCTACGAAGGTCAGCTAGCAGAGAATAGAAACACGAAGAAACTCTTCAAATGTTTCAAAAGTCTTAGAAACGGAAGTGCAATACCACCTAAGATTACATGGCACAGGACCTCGGCAGCCACAACGTTCGATCAGTGCTGTTTGTTCAACGGCTTTTTCAAATTCGTTTTCACCGAGGATGCTCGAAACGACTCACAAATCAGCGATGTACCCAACAAAGAAGTCCTGATTGACTACGACACGAGTGAAGAGGCAATCGAGAGTATCGTTGAAAATATAGACGTTAGCAAGTCAAGAGATCCCGACCGCCAGCCGACCTGCCTCTTCAAGTACACCCCTGCTCAGAACAATTCACTGTCACACTTGTTCCACATAATCAAACAAACAAAACAATTTCCCGACAACTATCTATGGAGAATTACCGGCCCATAACACTTCAACATTGTCTCGAAAATACAAGAAAATTCATTTTCGACGCACTCTATCCTTTTCTTGCACCTCTCATCAACGACTGCCAATGCGGTTTCAAGAAAGGAAGCTCACCGCCTCTTCTGTTGATCTCTTATCTGAACGCCATCTATCGGAATGCGAGCGACCCTTTCCTAAAAATCGAGGAATTCGACAAGATAAATCACCAAGTCCTTCTTTATAAACTAAGACAATTGGGTGTCGGGGAAGCTACTCGGAGTTCTCCGAAGCTATCTCTCGGGCAAAAGCAGTTTGTACAACTCGGTGATGTGAGATCCCCATCTATTACAGTCGCAAGCGGTGTTCCACGAGGATCGCTTTTGGGACCCTTGTTATTTCTTGTATATGTATCAATGTATCAAGATCTACCAAACGACCTCACCAATGACCCATACATGTTCGCTGACGAAACTGTCCTCAATTTACAAGAAAAGCGATGAAACAAAATTACAAGATGATCTCGACAAGCTTGAAACCTGGTGCGCTGTTAATTGTATGGAGTTCAATGTGCCACATAAATGAACTTTTCTAAAAATACCGAGTGGGAAGTTTTTCTCTATGCCAAACTTGTTGAACCCTCGCGCGTTGAAAAAGATCTTTGCCTTTATATCTGCGAAAACTTGAAATGGACAGAGCACATCAATAAAGCTTGCGGAAATTCTTCTAGTCTTACTCTTATTAAAAGAAATGTCAGTCTCAAACGAAAAGGCCAGAAATGTAGCAATTAAATACGTACTGCCAACTAACCTTGCTGGCTAGTTCGACTGCAGTGCTCCCAAATACAGCTGCTAGACCAAGTGCAGGATGGTAACTCACACAGGCGGAGAGCGGCAGTTGATGAGCACAGCAGGTAAACAATGCCCACGCTCCCCAACAGGAGGCGGTCGCTCCAAATTTTTTAGCCCCTCCCTCTTGCAGGTATTTAACCACCGCCTCAGCATCCTTCACGACCTAAATCATATCAGCTGTCACTATTACTTCATCAAATAAACTTTTATCAGGGCATGACAAGCGTCCAGGTGAAAAACAATCTAATTGGATGCCTACTGAAATTCGAAAAGCATAGATAACCTAACTTTTAACCTTACTTTTAGATATTGGCAGTTCGCCTACAGCCTAAATCAATTCTGTTGAATCAACGAGAAGCTATCTTAAAACACTGTTCGGGTCTCACCATTTCAGGCGGGAATTGAGACGCAAATTTTCCGACTTTCTCGGGCTCCAAAGGCGAATCATCCCAGCTTTTGCCCCTGTAGAAATCGGGGATCACTACTTTGTAGCCTTGCTCTGATAGTTTGTCACATAAAAACCGCGTCCTGAAAAAATTTATTTAGTAATTGTTTCTACTGTGCCTTAACTTCTTTTAAAGTTTTTGCCCTAGATATTCGCAAAATTTGAAATGATCATCATAACACTTTCAGTCAATTACTCTCTTCAAAACATTTACAAGATTTCAAAAAGTTGCAGATCTTTGTTCGGAAACCATCTTGATTCTCAGTCATTTTTTCTTTCACTGTTTCATAAACTTCAAGAGAGGCAAAGCCGAGCTTCGCCTCACTTGAGATACAAAACAAAACAGCCACTAAAATGGAAAAATTCAGAAATGCCAAATTCTATCATAACGAATTTTAAAAATATCAAAAACACACACCACGACAATAGAAGGTAAAAATAGAATCAGATAAAAACCACACCTAGACAAAAATGGTAAAAAGAAGAATCAGATAAATTTTTTTGCTTATTAAAGGACGCAATGTGAGGTCAACAATCCGAAATAATAAAGGGCGAAACTTATTTTACTGAGAAAGAAAAAGGAATTTTTTTCTAAAACGACATTAAGAAAAAACATTCCTAGACCGCCTTGCATCACGTGTGGCCATGCAAACAGCAACCAGCACGCCGGAGATGAAGAACGCCATTTACACTCGGCTCAGCTGCCTATTAATGCGGTCGAACGCGCAGGCAATGCTGTCGAGAGGTGGACAAATAACGGCAGGTCGAATGGAATTATCAATTGGAGGCGACCCATCAGCGTAACCATATAGACAATATACCACTTTAGTGTCTGCCATCAGGAGCAATAGTTTTTGGCTTGTGCTGTTTGCGATTACGGACCTCTTGGTTTTCACTATATGACTGATAATGTATTTTTGTTTGTTTGAATTCATACGCTAGTTTTACTAAGAAAAAACAAGTTCGTAAAATTACAACCAACCTAACAAGCACGTTTCGAATCAGAATGATATTCAAAATGCTAACATGCTAAAAATATCTCGCAAGGGTAATCAAGCATAGAATCATGAAGCTACAAAAAAACCTATTAGACCTAATTCGCAACCCTGTGCAACTATCTAGTTATATAGACAGCAAAGCTTAGAACATTAAAAAAAAATGAAATTACGTGTCAATTGCAAGCTTTGGCTATAGTTATAAAGCAAAATGCATCGAAAGCTAGACAAGTTATTCAACGAGCAGTCACTTCAGAGTTTTGAGTTTATTGATAATTCTGGGCATCTAAATCGCTCTTTTTCCTCATTTACCTCACATAAGCATCAACAATAATTGAACAATCAGCAAACGTTTAAGTGAAATTCTCAGGTGATGTAGAGCAAGAGCTGTCTAAATTTTCAACAGTCATACAAGAATAAAACGTACCTTCCACCATTTAATCCCCAGATATCGTAGAAATGCAGAATTACTTTGTCTCCGGAGCCCACAACATATAACTTGAGATCTGTTCCTGGCAGATCTATATCAGTGCCCTTCTGTTTGTGATCAGAAACAAGTTTTGGCAAGCTTCCAGGGGGACAACAAGTAGCCATAGTTTTTCTGAAGGAAAAAGTGTTGGTGGCGGCTAAGGGTAACCTTATTAGGCAATAAGACAAACGTTTGGTTTTTAACCCGTACTGAAGAATCATTTCATTCTAAAATATTTCCTTTCGATGCATCAAAAATTAATCTTTCACTTAAAAATTAATGCCAATGGAAACCAAAAGAAAGCTCCAAAATAAAAATTGTAAATTACCGAATACACAACACCGAATACTCCAAAATAAAAATCAATTACCTAACACATGAGACGCTTTCGGGCTAAAAAACACCATTGAATTCTCTTTAATCTCCAATAGATGGAAACGATCAGAAAAAAATTGGCCGAAAAATCGAGAACCATTAGTTCCTAAATGTACTCAAAAACTTTGCTTAAAATCTTCTGAGCAAACAACCTGCATATCCTACAGGATAAATTATTGTGCGAACATAAACAAAAAACTTCTATAAACTAAGACACAAAGAAAAATGAGAGACAAAACTTGAAAAACAGAAAATGGATGCTTAATTTTTGACAATTTCCACATAAAAAAACTAGCAGAAAATGTGACAACCACTTCTTAAAACATATAACAAACGCCCTCTTACATCAGATTTATCACAGGAGCTTGATACGCAATTTTAAGAATGCTGGATCACAACGAAAAAAGATAAGAGGCAAACACAAAAATTCAATTTTTTTTTAACTTCAAAAGAAAAACCCACACTCCTGAATCTCGTGCGACACTCGGAATATATCTTCGTACACAAAACAGTCAAGTCAAAATTGCACAAAAATAAAGAAAATAAGGCTGTTGAAATTTTTGATTTTTTTTTCGAAAAAATTTGACACGACAACAGGGCTATTGCATTGACTTGAATCAATTTTACATAAAAATTTTTGATCTTACAACATATTTTAATCAAAAGCAAAAATAATTCCACCCAAGTTGACATTTCAAATAAATTAGCAACTTTGCATCCAAAAAAAACCAAAAATTTATGGCTTTTTTTTGAAAAATTTCTTTTCTAACAGAAAATTTCTCAGATGTTGCATCTATACCGAAAAATATAGGCAGACAAACAATATGCCGACAACTTTTCTCTAAAAGGTAATATTTACTGTGTGAAAAAAAAACAGCTCCGGTCAGATTCGAATCCAGGACATTTTCAGCCCCAGGCGTATTGGTTACCTCCAAACCAAATAGGCCTTAGAGGCCGAGAAACTTGAATTTGCTATGAAACCAACTAAAATTTACCATTTCCATTTGACCTTTCTCTGAACACAGTTATTTACGTGAAAGAAAAATTTACAAGCCGATTGCAATGCTCTTGCTGATCACAAGGGTAAGAACTGATATTAGAAGCACTTCTTATCTCCGAAGAGAGACTAACCGCAATGATTTCAGGAGCAGCTACAGGACAAGAAATTACATTTTAGTCGTGGTTAAAAATGTGTGGATTTTATTAATTAAAATGAACGTGAGAAATTATCATGGTGACCGAAGTTACTTTACTAGTCTTCATCATTTCATTTAATCAAAAAAAAACATTATAGTTTTTTAAAATAGGGGAAAAAAGTAATATAGGTTGCTGTAGTCAGTAATAAAAATCGTAAACTCAAATTGCTGCGACCTATAGCTTCTGAAGTTCAGGGTGCTGCCGGTCTTAGCTTCTGAAGTTCAGGGTGCTGCCGGCCAGCTAAATGACATCAATTATTTTTTCGACCTATAGAAGAAGAAGAAGAAAGAACACCTGAATTACTATACAATAAAAGCCGAGGCATCAGTATAGCAAAGTGTAAATAATAAAGTTGGTTAAAGTTAATTGGTTACATCAAACAAAAACAACATCAGAAAACAAGCAATAAAAAAAACAAAACAAAACAAGTTCGGTTACAGTTCAGAAATTGGTTGATTAAAATATATGAAGTTACGGATACTAAAAAAACATCAGTTTTAAGAATTAAGAACGAGCTGGTATTAAAACTTTACAAACAATTTTACAGATAGTCCAAACATACAGCGTATATACAGAGTATATACAGATTCTCTTTCCAACAATGTGTGAAAAATTAAACTAAATTAAAACATATAGAACTAGCAAAAACGGAAATCACGCCACGTATTTGTATTTGTATATATTGGATTGTTTCTCAATTCACTCACGTAAAATTCTTTCAGTTTTTTCTTGAATCCTGTTCTCGATTTTTCTAAATTGCGCAAAATTATGGGCAGTGAATTCCATTTTTTAGAAGTCAAATGAAAAAATGATTTTTGTAGAGAAGCGGTTGAACAATGTTTGTCAAAAATAATTTGTTTCGCTCTTTTGTTGAGCCTATAATTGGCAGTCGGTAGTCACAATGTATTTTGAAAAGCCTTCTTTTTGTTTGTAAGATACTGGTATAAGTATGTTATACACTTTAACTCAATTCTTTTCTCCATTCCATTGAACGATTTGCTAATGCGAAGCAGGGAAGAAGATTTAAACTTCGAACTGAAATATATTCTTTTTAACGCCCAGTTCAACTGTTTCTCTAGAGATAGCATCAAAGTAGCATTAATTTGTATTAAAAATATTGCTGAATAATCTAAATGTGATCAAACAAGACAATAAAGCAAGGCAACTAATGATAATGTCGGCAGTTGTTGTCCAATTGTATCTATAGTTTTAATTCCTTGTGCCACTTTTTGGAGAATTGTTTTGTTTTGAGCATGAAAAAATAAACTTGAATCAAGAATAAGGCCTAAATATTTGCTTTCTGATTTTTTAGCTACATAATGCCCATCAATTACTATTGTATCAGTATCTACATTTTGCTATCATTTTTTTGACAAAATGTTATAAATTCCGATTTAGATGCATTCAGATTCAATTGATTCTTTGCAAAAAATTCCGTTAGATTATTGAGTGATTTTTGCAATCGATTCAAAGCATCCTCAGAAATTATAGAAGAGGAAAAAACCATACAGTCGTCAGCATATTGAACTAAAGTACAACCTTCATATAATCGCTCTTGTATGTCATTAACATATAAATTGAACAACAACGGAACAAGTACCGTTCCTTGTCGGACACCTCGTTTGATTTCAATCCAGTCTGAAAAGATTCCATTGATGTTTACTTTTTGAATACGTTTGTTTAGGAAGCTAGAAATTAAGGCATTTGCTCCATTTGAAAAACCGAGAGAAAGCATTTTTTCAATTAAAACTTCATGCGAAATGGAATCCAAATCCTTGGAAAGATCTAATGAAGCTGCATGTACAATTTTTTTTGAATCTATTTGATTTCGAATACTTTCTGTCACATAAACAAGAGCATCTTGTGTTGAAATGTTTTTTGCGAAATCCGAATTGAAATGATGTCATTATTTGAAATTTGTCAAGATGTTCTGTTATTTGGGCATGCAAAATTTTTTCAAAAATTTTAGAAAAAGCACAAGTTATTGATATTGGCCGATAATTTTTTGCATCCATTGGGTCATCTTTTTTAAACAAAAGGGTTACGTGTGCTTTTTTCAGTCCGATCGGGAAAATGTTCTCATCTAAGCAAGTATTTATGACAAAAGTTAAATGTGGAACTATAACTGATTGACCGTCAATGATTGCCCAAGCAGGTACGGTACAAAGACCGAGTGGTTTTCTGACATTGATTTTTCGAACTATATCAAAGCATTGCTTCACTGTAATGTGTTGAAAATGAAAAGGCGCAGATTCAGAGGCAGATTTGTTGTAATTCGGAGGCTTTTTAGCGCCGAAAAATTCGACTAAGTTTGAAAAAATATAATTTAAATGATTGGCAATTTTTTTGTCTTGGGTTATCATTTCACTGAAAGAATTTCGTATAACTGTAATTCGATTGTTGCCAGAACATGTACCTCTTACTTGGTTAATATATTTCCATTTTTGTTGGAGAGTGCTGAGAAGTGAAAAACAATTTTTTGAAGGATCAATTTAATTACTTCTAATCAATTGGCTCACTTGACACGTAAAAACTGGTACTTTGACCAATTATCGCTTGTGCTTTGACTGCGATATGATCTGAGTGAATTCTGTTTCTTAATCATCAATTGCTGACATTCTGAATCGAACCATTCCGTTTTCAACACATTTTTTGGTTTAAAATTACGAACAAATATTTTTTCGATAGGAGCATGTTGCTGAAGAGCACTAGAAATTAAATAAATCATCGTTGAAAACATGTTTTGTGCGTCTCTACATTGATATAAGAGATACCAAGGAAGAGCGGAGAGTGTATTGCAAAATTCATTTTTCTGATAATTTTTCTTATTGAAAGTCGAAATTATCCTCGGTAAACTTTTGCAATATATTATATCCGTCAAAATCAATGAAGCAAAATGGTCGGTTTTATAAGGTGTATCATAACAAAATTTAATGCCGTTTGTTTCATAGTCGCTGATAATGTAGTCGATATGATTTTTAGTTGAGGAACTAATTCTGGTCTCATCGTTTGGACAAAAAACCTTCAATCCATATGGAATAATTATAGAATCTAAATTTTCTTTTTCTTTGCTATCCAGTTAATTTATGTTATAATCACCCAGAAGCGTAATTTTATTAGAAACTGAAAATGCATTATCTATGTTGAGCGTTAATTGTTCCAAAAAATCAATAAAATTTGATCTGCTTGGATTATAACACAAATTAACTAACATTTTTTCTTTACTGGAAATGTTAAATGTAGATTTGCACTCAACCCACACTGAATCATATTTTTCTTTATCAAATAAATTTAAATCAGGCCTCAATTTTTGAGCCAATTTGACTGATATATATTCGAAAAAATTTGACACGACAACAGGGCTATTGCATTGACTTGAATCAATTTTACATAAAAATTTTTGATCTTACAACATATTTTAATCAAAAGCAAAAATAATTCCACCCAAGTTGACATTTCAAATAAATTAGCAACTTTGCATCCAAAAAAAACCAAAAATTTATGGCTTTTTTTTGAAAAATTTCTTTTCTAACAGAAAATTTCTCAGATGTTGCATCTATAC